GTACATCAAAGGCACTGAAAATTTTTCTTCAGCATTGGGATAGTTTCCCTGACCTGCTCAGAGTGCAGCTACCTCAGGGTGATAGATTAAGCAGAGTCAGTTAAAACCGACAGATGCCCAACGCATACATAGCCACGCTTACGCAGCCAAAATATATGTGAAAAAATGATCTCGAAAAATCCAAGTATACAACAATGAAGCACGTTCGATAGCATTAGCTATTGCACCTCCGTCATAGTGCGGAGGAGCTGGCATCCCCGACTAGTTTCGGTCACCGCCACTGAATAAATATGATTAGAATCTGAGAATATGATCTAAGCTAGAGGTAGTACGAGTTACGATCTGGTTAGTAGAGGTTTCTTAGGCTGTTTTTTTTTTTTTTTTTTTTAAAAGGGGCGACGGCCTTGAGATATTATCATTGAGCTGACCGGCCCCAAGCAATTCATTAGTAGTTGGTTTTACTCGTCAAGTTCCATCATCTGGATTCGAACATCGCACCTGGTCTGTATTTCAACAGTTCATGGGTGTACCCACTGAGCTAGGCTCTTGGGTACTTAGGCTGTTTTGGTTGTGTAGGCTTCTCAGTTGTTTTGGTTGTAGATCTTTTTAGTTGTTTTCCTCAGCAGCAAGCTTTCTTGCAAGTGCGGCGAAATGCAAGGACTGCACTAATCAGCAGCAAGCTTTCTTGCAAGTGCCGCGAAATGCTGAGGGGACACACAGTTCACATCTATATCAGACTCTCTCTCTCTCTCTCTCTCTCTCTCTCTCTCTCTCTCTCTCTCTCTCTCTCTGATCTAATGGTGGGGAACCCCACCTGCTGCAAACCGGGTCCAGCGTCCCCTTCTACATCCAGATTCCAGAGTAAACGATTCAGAACAAAAAAAAATTACTCTGATAGCCGGACTCAGGGCGCGAATCGATATTGTCTGATTTAGAGGGTCCACCCTTAACCCTTGAGAAGAGGACTAATTAGCAAGCAACCCATTCAAAGGGTGGATGGCGATAGACCAGCCGTGGAACTGAAGGATATATATCAATTGACTACCGTCGCCCCCCGAACACAACGCACCCTTATTTTGGCAGTTTCTGGCCGGAAATATAGCTTGTATACATTCATTTTAAGGGTGGGTTATGTTCGGTGGAAGACGGTAGTAGCCGGCCACTCAATCAATCAGCGCACGAACACGTTTAGGTCCATGGCCCTCCCCCGCTCTTCCTCCTCACATCCCATGGCATGATGCTTCACTGCTTTGTGGCCACTCAATCGAAAGAGACGGCAAAAGAGGGTGGAGGACCATGGTAAAAGGAGGGATTCAAAAAAAAAAAAAAAAAAAAAAAAGAGCAGGGATTCAGAGGGTGGACGACGATACTCCAGCCATGGACCTAAAGGATGATGAATGAGCAAAAGAAGATGAACGAGAAAAGCAGTGAAGTATCATGCCATGGGACTTGACGAGGAAGAGAGAGGGGGGGGGAGGGCCAAGACGGGACGCGCTGCCAACGACAGTCTGAGAGCCCTCTACTTCTCCACGCGTCCACCCACCAACCCCCTTTCAATCTAGCGGAAGAACACAGGTCATGCAGCATCCGTGGAAGAAAGGCCGAGTTGTCACCTCTGATGTAGAAGCTGGTCACAGAGCAGTCTCTCTCTCTCTCTCTCTCTCTCTCTCTCTCTCTCTCTCTCTCTCTCTCTCTCAGGGGGGGGAGGGCCAAGACGGGACGCGCTGCCAACGACAGTCTGAGAGCCCTCTACTTCTCCACGCGCCCACCCACCAACCCCCTTTCAATCTAGCGGAAGAACACAGGTCATGCAGCATCCGTGGAAGAAAGGCCGAGTTTCCGGCGAGCAAGGGAGCGGGTACGCGGGAGAGAGAGAGAGAGAGAGAGAGAGAGAGAGAGAGAGAGAGAGAGACTGCTCTGTGACCAGCTTCTACATCAGAGGTGACATGACTTCCTTTATCTACTGGCATGAAATGCCCTGACCTGAGCAGCATTGTACACAAAGGGCCTGGCCACACCACTGTCGAAATGACAAAAGTACTACCTAGTGCATCTTCACGCAGAGAGTGGCAAGATGCATCCAATACTAAAAATAGCAAAGAATGCATCTTGCCTCTTTCTGGGGAAGATGCA